CCATTTCATCCAAGGAACTATGGACCTAAGTTCTAATCGGCTCTGCAGGCGGATGTCTGAGCCATGCCCACTGTTTAGATGGTTTGCCTCAGAGCAGTCACTTAATCCTCTGCGCCTCTGCTTCACCACCTGTAAAATGGGACTAAATGTGGCATCGGGTTGTTACGGGAAGTAAATGAGTTAATACATGAAAAGTCCCGAGAAAAACACCCAGCAGAGGAGGCACTGTGCAACTCCTGCTGTTGCCTTATTATCGTCACTGTTAGTGGGGAAGAGCAGGCCACGGAGACACGGGGGCACTGCCTGCCTCTTATCCACCATGTAACTCTATGGGCTTAAAAAAAGTAGAGCCTAAGAGCAGATTCCAATGCTGGCCCCTCCGCCTAACAGCCGGGCGACCTTTGCAAAGCCTGTAGGTTCTCAGAGCCTTGGTCTCCCATCTGACTCGGGGGAGGAATCTCCTTCCTTATCTAACGAGCTCAGTGGGAGGATCAGCATCAATCGTGGATTTTGCAAGCTGCATGGCAGGTGCTGCTGTCCGAGTCAGTGGGTGAAGAAGGAGAAGGTGTCTTTACGGTTGCTTCAAAGAGAACCAGGAAGAGAGGCTAGAAGTTTTAACAAGGCCAACTGCAGCTCTATTTAAGGAAGAACGTTTGGTTCTTTTTGATTTTTTTAGAGCGAGAGAGTGCACAGGTGCAGGGGTGGGGGAGGGCAGAGAGAGAGAGAGAATCCCAAGCGGGCTCCACGCCCATCCCGGAACCCAACACGGGGCTCCATCCCAGGACCCCGAGATCATGACCTGAGCCGAAGGCAGACGCTCAACCAACTGAGCCACCCACGCGCCCCTAAGGAAGAACTTTCTAAGGACAGCTGCTACAGAGGTGGGGAGGGTCCTGACATGAGAAGGAGCCCAGTCCTGGGGGCCAAGGAGGGCAGTTCTAAGAGTCTGGGCTCTCGACCCTGCCAGGCCTGCCACCTTGCAGGGTTAGGGCTAGAAGGCCCAGCTCAGAGCCCTCCCTCTCCACAACGTCTCTCTTTGGGGAGTTGCCCCTCTCCTCATCCCCCCTCTGTGCCGTGCCTCTGCTTGGCCATCTTGGGAAAGGGCTCCATGACCTCTTTTGTTGTCTGAGAATCTCAAGCTCTTCCTTAGGTCCAGCCTCAGTCCCTCCCAGCACAAGATGAAAACTATGTTCTAGGGCTCTGTTTTCCCTCGATGTGGATATGACTGGCTCTCTCTCTCTTGGGTCAAAAAAAGCCCTTTGGCTGACCAGAAAGAAAGGGACTGCACTGGCTGACGCTTCCCACTGGATTCTTAGTGCTTCCTTGCTTCGTATGGAAGGTCTTCGGCCCTTGCCCCCTCTCCCAGAAGTGACAAAGCCGCCCAGGACCGCTCCACCTCTGCTGGCCACGGGCATCCTGCAGCGTCCCTACTCTGACTTCGCCTCTTTCCGGTTATCTCACCAGCTCTTCTACCCTGTCTCCTGGTCTCCGCCTCCTCCCTGCCACTTGCCTGTAGGAATCACCCGGCGGGCCCATCTCCTGTACCTGGCGCTGACCAGCAGCTGTGAGTCACACTTGGGTCACTGCCCAGCCGGCTGCGTGAACCTGTCTACCCACCCCTGCCTCTCTCCTGGAACAGGAGCCAAGAGCCCTGCATCCCTCTCTCCTGCACTCCTGATGAGTACCCCTCAAATTTTTTTTTAAGATTTTATTTATTTATTTGAAATGGGGGGTGGACAAAGGCAGAGGAAGAAGCAGGCTCCCCGCTGAGCAGGGAGCCCGATGCAGGACTGGACCCCAAGACCCCGAAATCATGACCTGAGCTGAAGGCAGATGCTTAACTGACTGAGCCGCCCAGGCGCCCCGAGTACCTCTCATCTTATTCCTGCTCTCCCCCATGGGCCCCCACCAGCAGCCTGAAACCCTGTGGTGCTTCACCCGGCCTCTCCTTAAAGTGCAGAGGGAGAAAGAGCTTTGAAATCAAACACACTTGGTTTGTGACTCAGCTGTAACCTGAGATGCACTGGCTGCTAGGTGGGGTGGGTGGGGGTGGCGGGGTGATTGTTCACCTGTGTGAACTTGGGCAGGTTACTTACCCTCCCTGGGCCTCGGTATCCTCACATATAACACAGGACTAATACTAGTACTTACTTCAGAAGTCTTCTGTGAGAATTCAATAATTTCATATAAATGTAAACTTATATCTGGCACATTAAGTTCTATAGAAGTGTTAGCTATTATTTTTTTAAAGATTTTATTTATTTGAGAGAGAGAGAGAGAGCTCACAAGCGGGGGGAGGGGCAAAGAGGGAGGGAGAAGCAGGCTCCCCGCCCAGGCAGGGAGCCCAATGAGAGCAGGAAGCCCCATGCGGGGCTCAATCCCAGGACCCTGAGATCATGACCTGAGCCAAAGGCAGACACCCAACCAACTGAGCCACCCAGGTGCCCTGAAGAGTTAGCTATTATTGTTGTTATTTCTTTATTATTTGCTGTGTGACCTTGCTCAAATTATTTCACCTCCATTTCCAAATGGAAATAATAATAATTTCTTAACCATGGACTTGCCAAGATTAAGTGAGCTAGTGCTTATAAAGCACCCAGTGCAGGGGCATCTGGGTGGCTCAATCGGTTAAGTGTCTGCTTTCGGCTCAGGTCATGATCCCAGGATCCTGGGATCGAGCCCCACAGAGGCACAGGGCTCCCTGCCCAGCGGGAAGCCTGCCTCTCCCTCTCCTCCCCTCTCATGCTCTGTCTCGCTATCTCTGTCTCTCTCTCTCAAATTAAAAAACAAAACAAAACTCTAAAACATGACAAAAAGAAAAAAAATAATAAAGCAGCCAGTGCAGGAATGAGCATGTAGGAAGTGTTCAACATTGCTCCCCATGCTAGGGGGCCTTCCCTGGCTCCCCTCCCGTCCTGGGTGCACTCTCTCCGCTAAGCCCTGTGGCCACCAGTTGCCAGTCACGGAGGAAAGATTCTTTCTGTGTGGACACCTGCCTCCCAGCCTGCCGCTCTGGTCTGGCTCCCTGGCGCTTTTTCCTGGCCTGCCCGTGTCCCAGACCCTGCGGAACCTCAGGTAATATGCAGGCCTCAACAGATGGAGCCGGGCCCTCTCCATCTCCCACCTGTGTCTTCCAAGCACAAATATTTACGGAGAACCTACTACCCAGCCTGTTGTCCCTCCCACCTTCCTGCCTTCCCCTCCCTGCTGGCTCAGAGGGGTCCAGGGTCCCACCCCTCCACCATGGCCCAAGGGGGTGAAGGGGAGTAAGTGGGGGGAAGATCAGGGCAGGGAAGCAGCAGAGGGTCAAGAAGAAGGGGAGCAAAAGCCCATGGGCACCAAGGAAGAAAAATGAGGCTGAGCAGGGGTGGGAGGAGGGGAAGGAGAGCCAGGAAATGAGATGTAAACATCTGACTACAGACTTCATCTACTCCACGTCAAGCACCTGGGGTATTAAGAGGCAGGGGTTTGTGATCAGAGAGAGGGTCAGAGAGTGAGTCACAGCTCGGTCGCTATCTCGGTGACCTTGTGACTTGTCTGTCTTTGCCTCGGTTCCCTCCAATGTTAACTAGGGGTAATAACGGTCCCTGCCTTGGGGGGCTGCCGGGGGACCTGGGGGTGCTGCAGAGTACTTAGCAGTGGGGGGTGCACGAAGGAGCTTCTCAGGAAATGGGCCCTTCGCTGGGAGGGCATAGGAAGGCCAATCCCTGCAATGGCCGGCAGTGTTTTCTCTGTGGCACAGGACGTCCCAACCCTTATTGGTCCGTGACACACCTTAGGACACAACAGAATGCATGGGGGCCCTCCACCCCTAGTAGGTGACCAGTCTCCGTCATCCGGAATCGCACACACACTCATGCAGTCACACCCGCGGGGACTCATAAATCTCACACTCCCTGAAGGCAGAGACTATGACTCTTCCAGTCTTTAGGAGACTGATCACACGGTCCTGCTCTTCTGGTTTTTGTTTTTTGGGGGGATTTTTTGTCCTGCTTTTATTTGTGCTGCCTGTCTCTTCCGCCTTACTCTATCTTCCGGCCCCCAGAACCTAGCCAAGTGCCTGGCCTTCGGTGAAGATTGAATGAATGATCCCATTTGCCGGGGGGCCTAGCACTGTGTGGGACATGCTCCAGGTACCCTAAAGGTGCTGCGGGACCCAGTAAATGAATAAAAATAAAAGGCATATCTAAACACCCAGCCCCGCCCTCCTTTCTTCTCCATGGTTACCATCCCCTCCGGCTTCCAGAAGAAAAGCCGGCAAACAGCAGTGATGAAACCCAAAACTGCAGGACACACCCGAGCACTTAAAAGTCAGGCACCTGGCCAGGTGAGCCGTACAGCCCGGCAGGGGTCACCGCTGGACCGGGGGCTGCTTTCTGTCCTGTGCTGGTCTCCTCTGGCTCTACCCCCAGCCTCAGTGCTCTGGGCCTGCTTCGCTGCCACCCCCCACCTTGCTTTCCCGGAAACAAACTCCCCCTTCTACGCCAAGACCAACAGGCCGGGGCCCAGCCCCTGCCCGCTCCCATCCACCACCCACCACCCACCACCCGCCACCCGCCACCCACCACCCACCACCCGCAGCACCTGCCACGGCTTCACCGCTCCATCACATTCTTCTCTCCGGGTGGAGGAGGCCTTGTTCTTCGCCCTCCTCTTGCTCCGGGAAGGGATGGGAAGGATCTCTACCCGGCCCTTTGGAGTTATCCGCATCTCACTTCATCAGCTCTCCCTCCCACTCGCGGAGTTAGAAGGCAAGTGAAGAAGCGGCCGCTGTCGCTCCCACAACCGCACGGTGGTGAGCCGCGGGCGCTCGGAGGGCCCCGCGGGCCAGAGCCGCCTGCCCATCAGGTCGGGGAGTCCCTCTCTTGCCCCAAGGGCGGTCTGCCTGGGCGCAGGAGTACCACCTGCTACCGCTGCGTCTGCGGGTCGACCTCGGGCCCCTCTGAACCCCTCTTCCTGGCGCCCGGGACGCGGCGGAGGGATCCGAGGGCTGGACTGACCTGTAGGGATTGAGGTTGCAGATGGTGACGGCGGGGAAGACGAGCTTGTCGGAGTTGAGGTTGATGTTGAGGCTGACGGGGTAGCTGAAGTACTCCCCGAAGAGCTGGCCAAACTGCCAGTACATCATGCCGAAGGCGCAGAGCCACAGCACGGCCCAGAAGGCCGTCTTCATGCGGTTGTGCTGGGAGCACACCAGGCGGATGGCGCCATGGATGGTGGTGTTGTTGCAGAAGAACTGGAAGAGGTCTCGGTAGGAGCGGTGGAACTCGATCAGGGCCTCCTCCTCCTCCGTGGGCTGCGGGGGCGCCGCGGGTTCGGGGCCCAGCCCCTGCTCCTCCCGCTGCTGTCCTTTCATGAGCCTTGGGGGGGGGGGTCATGGAGGGCCGGGGGTCAGGGCCGAGTTCTGGGCCCTGGTGCCTCCCCCATCATCACCTTGACCCAGAGTGAGGCTGCTCCTGCCCAGGCCCACATCCCGCCCTGAGCCCCCTCTTCTCCGCCCCTCCCTTCCTCCTTCCCTCCCTCCACCTTCCCAGGCAGGAGCCGGCTGACCTGCGGGAGTCCGGGCCAGAAGAGATGCGGCTCGGCTTCTCTGGGAAGCTACCCTTCGGGGTTCTGCCCCTGCACCTCCCTTTCTGTCTCCTCAGCTGTCAGTCCGCCCTATCTTTAGTCCCTTCTGTAGGACCTCTGTGTCCCAGCGCTCTCTCTCTCTCTCTCTCTCTCTCTCTGCTTCTCTTTGGGTCTCTTTCTCAGCTCTCTTCTTCCTTGCCTGTCTCCTGTCTGTGTTCCAGGCTCTCTGACCCTGCCTCTCTTCCTCTTCCTCCCCGCCTTGCCCCTCTCAGTCTCGGTGGGCTCTGTGCTGTGTGTCTGGCCCTGGCCTTGGGCCGGGTCCCGAACTCCCTCTCTGTCCCAGGGACTGAAGGCCTCCAGGAGGTCTGAACTGCCTCCTACTCCCAGCTCCCTGGTTGTGGCTGGACTGGGACTGGTTCCTTTCCAGTTGAATCTGGCAGGCGAGCCTCTCCTCCCCCTCACCTGACAGGTGCAGCGGCCAGGCTGGGGAGCCCGCCCGCCAAGCTGGGATGGAAGCGACAGAAGCCTCATTAGCATCTCAATTAAAGGTGAGCAGGGCAGGGGGAGGGACAAAGGAGGAGTCTGAGCTGAGAGTTCTCCAAAGGAAGGAGAGCTCTGAGGGCAAGGTGCCCCGGGAGTCCTGGGACTGGAGAGAAGGTGAGAGACAGCCCCCCCGCCATGAGTAACGGTGGGGGGCTGACAGACAAGGAGACCGGAGACAGATTGACAGGGGAGGGCCGGAGATCATGGACAAGGACAGGAATCCGGAACACCAAGCCAGGAGGGCAAAACAAAGAAAACGAACCAACCAGGATGAGGGGGACTAAAGCGGGGGAGACTAGGAGAACAGGGAAGGCAGAAAAAAGGAGATCCATGGAGGACAGGATGGACGCCTGGGAGGGAGGACAGAGTTGGAGGAGAAGCAGAGAAATGAGGCTGAAGACCAGAGAGCCAGCCCTGAAAGGACTCTCCCCTCCCTGGCAGGAGATCAAGGGGAAGAAGCCCCAAGTGGGCTTCCAGGAGCTAAGTCCCCTCCCTGGGGACTCCTTCCAAAGGCACCCCTGGATCAGCCTCACCCCCAGGTCTTGTAGAAGAAGAAGGGGTATCTGCAAGTGTCCTCCCTGCTCAATAAAGTGGGAACACCTCCTGGCCCCACTGGGCCCTGGAGCACAGAGCACCCCTCTGCCTCTCCCTCCATCTTCTTCCCTCCTGACTCCTCACTACCACCCCCTACCTTGTCCAGGCCAGGGAGGGGCCCAGGTGAAGCTGAAGGTTGGGCGGGGCCCTGGGACATTCTGTTCTTTTTTACACCATTGGCTGCCAGGCCAGGAATGTGTAATGTCCCCTGTTGTGGTCACGGGGTTGCAGGAATGTGGTCACCTAGAGGCAGCACCGAGAGGGGCCAGGCAGGGCACCTGGGCACAGACCTGAAGCCCAGGGCACATTAGGGACAGCAGGCACTGAGGGGACAGGGAGGGATGTGGGCAGCACTGGATGTCAGGGAGGAAGCGGGTGGGCATGGCCCAAGTCTGCACCAGCCCTGGAAGGAAGGAAACGCTCACTGGTCAGGACTGTGTTTTTCCTCCAGAATCTCTGCTCCAAACTTAATCCAGCAAGAGGATAAAGAGTGAAGTGTAAGCAGTGAGCACACAGGGCAGGGGCAGGGAGAGGGCCCAGAGAGAGAGCCTGGAGAGGCACAGGAGACACAACCACACAGCCCAGGCCCTGAGCCTGATGGCAGGTCTACGCCAGTGGACCCCCACCGGACCCCCAGCGGAGGCAGCCCAGAGTGCGTTCACTGGCTTCTCCCGCCTCCCGGAGGAGCAGACCCGGGATGTGCAGACACAGGCCCACTGATGGAGTCGGGTGGAAGACAGGCATGCAACCTAAGATAAGGACTCTCGGTGGCAGAGATAAGAACTAAGTGCTGAGGGAGCCCCGGGGTGGCAGGGAGAGGCACTCCCCGGCAGAGACTCAGGAAGACTTCCTGGAGAAGGTAACATCTCTGCTGCGTCTTGGGGAGCACAGGGGAGTGTACCAGGCAAATAAGAGGGAAGTGGGGTATCCCAAACTCAGGGCGCAGCTGGGTCCTGTGGCTTCCTCTTGGGGCAGGAGGTCTCTTGTGGCCTCTTCAAGTGAGAGGTGCTGTCACCCAGGAGTCCCAGCCCGGCTTCCCTTGATGATGCCTGGGGAGGACAGCCCCCTCTAGGAAGGGAAAGGCTGGGTTTTCTTTCATTTTCCAGATGAAGAAACTGACCCTCCACAAAAAGAAGCCAGTTTTCTGAGGGCACAGAACAAAATGGCAGCCAAGTGAAACACAAAATCAGAATTCTCCTGTGGGGTTGTCTGCTTAGGGTATTTGCCATTTATTTCCCATGACGAACCAGCCAGAGACTCCTGGGGAGTTGAGGCTCCCCCCGCCCCCCGCACCTGGCTTTGAAAGCTAGGGAGGTTCGCACACAGAGCCCATGGGCTCATCAGCAGTCTGGGTACCAGATTACCTCCCTCTCTCTGTGAAAAGCTCTCTACACTGTCCCCACGTTCCCACAGGACCGTGACACTCCTAGATCTTCCATTCTCCCTGGAGCCAGGTCCTTAAACAAGGAGCGATCCTACGTACAAATACGGTATGCAGCACCCTGCCTGTTGGATCTGAAAGGTTCACAGAGGCACCTCCCAGTCTTCTGTATTCACTAGCTGGTGTCTGAAATCCAACCGTGGCTTAAAGCGGTGCAGCACATAGTTTTCATTTCAAGGGCTCTGTGAGAAGAATTGCAAGGTCTGGGCTGGGATGAGCGGGAAAGCACGGTGTCCCCGTAACTGCCCAGCAGGGTACCAGGAGGCAGCGCATGCTTAGAAAAAGTGCCCTTCTAGATCTGGAGCGGGCCAGATCAAGTTTGTGGTTGTGAGAAACAGAAATCTGAGACCTACAGTTCTGTTTCTGTCGTGGTGCCATTTAAAATATTATCTTTGAAAGTGCAGAAATAATGCTCTAATACATTGTTGTCGCGATGCAACTTTCCAACAATACAGAAGTATACAGAACAACAAAAGCTCCCCTTTGTTCCCTTTCCTACCCACCCCTCGGCCCAAGGAGAGTCGTCGTAATCTGTAGATCCATCTGGATCTTTTTGTATGCTTTTATAGGCCTATGTGTATTTTTTTTTAATTTATGCTTTTTTTTTCATAGATGGGACCATGTCATAGGTACTCTGTGACTCCCATTTTTGCCTTTAAACTATGTGACTTTGAAAAAGGCACTTTACCTCTCTGGGCTCCTGTGCTCTCACTTGAAAAGTGAAATGGCCGAGGGAAGGGAGGGCGAGGCAGCCCAGATGGTCCCAAAGGCCCCTTCCAAACGACTTAAAGCAGGAGGGAACCAAGGCCCGGAGAAGCAAAGTGACGTGCCCACAGTCACCCAGGAGTCAGGAGGGGGGCCAAATGGAGAGTTGAGCCTCTTCTTTTTCCACGCTCAGTGCCGCTCCCCTGACTTCCAGAGAAGTGGAGTCTTGCTCGGTTGGTCACCCAGGGCCTTGTTGTCCTCATTTTGGAAGTTTCCCCAGCCTCTCCCAGAGCCACGCTGTTGCTTCCCTCCCAGCACCAGCCATCCCCTGACCCTGGGGTGTGGCCATAAAATGGGCAAAGGCTACAGGGAGAGAAGTAAAACAGAGGGTCTGCAATGGGATGAGGTCATGAGTTCAAAGGGTCTTCTGGCCTCTTGCTCTCTGGGGAACAGGACATGATGGAAATAATCACTTTCTCTCCCACACTCCCAGAGAAAGACTTGTTGAGAATTCTATGGCAGCACTTACCACTGGATACTATTATTATCCTGGTATGCGCGTATGTACATGTGTGGATTTGTGTGTGTGCATATGCACAGATCGTACTATGAGTTCTCTGAGAACAGGCCCTAGGCTTATTCGTCTTGGTGGCCCCACTGTCTACTGGTCACTGTTTGTTGACCCACTCTGCAGAAGACAGCAAAATTAGCATCTTCACTCAAGGTTTATCTTTGGCAGAGAGTGACGTGCTGAGAAAGCATCTCCGTCAAACATCCTGATTTCCTCTGATAACTCATTAATTTGTAATCTATTAATTTATCTAAATTTCCTTCACTTTTTCCATTTCAGCCTCTATCCTTTCTAGTGTAAAAAATGAGTCACTCACTTAAATGCAACTTTCTTTATTCTCACTGCTTAGAGCTAATTAGCCTTTCAACACTGGGCCGCCCACTGTGGAAAACAGCGATCCTTCTATCTGTACTTCTATGGTGTGAATTTCTCCTTAACCTAAAAGGATGCACCAGAAAATTCCTCCTTGTCACTCCTACTCCAGTCACCTGGCAGGAGGCTTAGAAGTTCACTATTAGAAGTTTATTCCTTTGGGTCAAGGCAGGATTTCTCTACCTTGGCACAAATGACAACTGGATAATTCTTTGGGATTTTTGAAAAGGATGGTCCCCAGTGAAAATGCAAACACCCTGGAGAAGGATGGCCCTCACCCATGACACGTCTCTCAGTGTTTCCCAGACCCTTTCTAAGGGCACCAGTTGGCTAAAGAGCAGTGTGGGGAAGAGGAAAGAAAGAAAGAGTATCTAAAAGAATCCATTCCTGGGGCGCCTGGGTGGCTCAGTCGGTTAAGCGTCTGCCTTCAGCTCAGGTCATGATCCCCAGGTCCTGGGTTCGAGCCCCACATTGGGCTCCCTGCTCAGTGGAGAGCCTGCTTCTCCCTCTGCCTCTGCCTGCTGCTCCCCTTGCTTGTGTTCTCTCTGGTGCTGCCCAAAAGAAATCAGTAAAACTTGAAGGAAGCTGGCGAAGAACACAAAGGAAAGAAACCAAGACAATGCTTTGCCCTTAAAGAATTCATGGATCCCTGCTGTGAGTTTCCTCCACCTTCCCGGAGAAGGTTGGGTAGGCATAATAACCATTTATTGGTAAGCTTTGTCCATCGTGGTCCAGCTTAGAAACAGGAAAAGCTCTAAGTCTTTCAAGTGGAAGAAATTTAACTCAGGGAATTGGTCCATCGGTGATGAAGGAGATAAGAAGCCAACGGGGGACAGCGAGACAACCCAGAAAGCAGCAAAGCAGGAAGCCGCTACACCTCCCAGGCCTGGAAAGTCAGCAAGCTCATGTAGCATTACAGACCCAGAGGCCCCCTGAGCCATGTGGCAGGAAGCAAATAGTGGGTGCTGCCCGAGAGGAGAGGGGGTCGTGAAAGGAGAGAAGAAAGAAACACAAACAACCACAGGTGGGGTCCGACGTCTCAAAGCAGAGAGACAGGGAGAAAGAGCCTGGCTTCTTTCCTCCTCCCACCTACCTGTCCTCCCCCCACCTGTCTTCCTATTGGCTGAACCTACCCAGAAGCCGGAGGAAAAAGGAATCTGGGAAATGTAGTTTCTAGTAGTGAGGCGATGCCGAGCGGAGGAAGAGAACAGACTGGCAAGCAAACCAGCAGGTGACTGGCAGAGAAAAAAGAGGCCCAGAGAGGGGAAGTGATGGGACCAGGGTTAAAGTCCAGATCTTAAGGCTCTCATTTAGGACCCAGAGAGTCCTCGAAGGCTGACGTGACAGCATGAGATTGGCAGCAGAAAAAAGAACGTAGACCAGCCAGCTGGGCTTTAAAAAGATCTGAGATAGTGCTTACCTGCGAAGCAGGAGCCTTTTGAAGGGCAGGAAATGTTCTGGGGAGATACACAAGAACATGCAAAAGCGAAAATTCACTGATCTGTATATATGAGATTAGTGTGCTTTATGCATTTCATTGTATATAAATTATACCTCAGTGAAAAGAAACAAGAGTCCCTCCTGTATTTTTTATCAAATCCTGTCATATTTTCAAATGAAATATGTCTGGGGTTTGCTCCCAAATAATTAAGGGAAAATTGGAAGAATGGAGGAGGGCTGTATGGAAGAAATAAGACTGGCCGTGAGCCGAAGCTGGAGTTCACAATATTATTTTCTTCCTTTTTGTATACGTAGATGTTATGTGCGAATTTCCATCATACAAAGTAAAAAAGAAAAAAGGCTCTAGGGACCCTACACACACACACACACACACACACACACACACACACACACACACACACCCTTTATGCACTGAAGAGCTCAGCGGTGAGTCCAGTCCCAGCCCCCAATTCCCTTGACCTGGAAAGAGCAGCACCCTGAGCGGTGCTTGCTGCTCTGAAATGGGCAGCCTTGGACCCTCCATATGAACACTTGCCACAGAGTACAGATCTGAGGCCTGCATCAGGAGAGGGGAGTGAAATGTCTAAACTCAGGCAGGCCCTTCAGTGTCTTGGGAGCCCTCCTCCCCAGAGGCGCTCCTGCACCAGGACTTCCCAGCTCCCCCCACCAAAAGCCTGTCCAGCCAGTCAGACCGACCAACGACCAACGACCGACCGACCAACAGCAAGGATGAATGCAGAGCCCTGCAGGGAGAGGGATGGGACAGGGCCCCCGTGACCTATCTCCAGAGAGAAGTCAGCCCCTCACGCCAAAGAAGGCAGCGTGGTTGCTGGAATGAGCGTGGGACCCAGGAATCAAGAACTCTGGAGTCTGGGCTGGTTCCGCATAGACTGGCTAGGTGATGTGGGCAAGGCCTCATCGTTTACTCCGTAAATATGTACCAGACCCTTGGAATGGGCCAGACTGGGCTAAGCCCTGGGACCCAGACTTAAGGATTCCATCCAGGCCGTGGCAGAACTCACTGCCTGGTGGGGCAGGAGGCCAAAAGCAGCAGGTCCCAGACTGCGGTGGGTGTGGGAGCTGTGCAGCCTGGGGTGGGGGTGCTTCCCA